CACGAATATGATATATCCAAGAATAAGTTTCAAAAGAAATTACCATCGTTGTTTTAACTGTACCATTACCAGTCCCAAATAATATATTCACTGTTCGATCATACTGACAAGGAAAAATTAGATCAACTTGATTATCAGAGTTTACATCAGCAATAACACTTGCACCTGGAGTCTTCAATTGACATGATGTAGTAATTGATAGTTGTTTAAATGCAGGATGACACAATGATGGTTCTAAAGATATAAATTAATTGATACTTTTTAGCTATTATCGAACTCAAACATCAAAATTTAAGCTCAAAGTATATATGAAGATAGTGCGTTTTGAAAATACAAAATGGAAATTTATATTATGGCCATTTAACTATGATGTTCAGAAAAGGTATGACTCCATCATCTTTATGAATTGACCTGATGTGCTCGAAGATGTTGACGTTTTTGTGCTTATTGTCGTATTCAAATCATTAATCATTGTTACACTCGTCGTTGAATCTATCAAACAAACATATAACAGTTATTTCATGAACAATCACTATCTATTTTTTAATCAAGACAGGTATATACATGGGGCATTACGAAAGTTTTTCACTAGCCCTTACAGAAGATACTTAGATACCAGTGTCAATTAATTTTTTAAAGTACGCTCCACTAGCATCAATACACTTTTGCATGCGAGAAAACCAATAAGCGAAACAGTTCTGGAAGTCCTCTTAAGTCAGACACTGAATAACATGGTCCAAGGCTTTCAACATTTCCTCGTCGTTGTTAAATTGAATTCCTCACAGTTGATTTTTCAGTCTCGGGAATAGAAAGAAGTCGTAGGGACTCAGATCTGGTGAATATGGGGGGTTTGGATACGATTCGACACCATTTTCAGCCAAATATTCGGTTGTCATCAAAGTCCGATGGGGTTGTGTATTCTCATCATGGAACATCAGCATACGGAGTCTTGTCTTCTCTCGTCTTTATGCAATAGCATCGAAAGCCCTAGAGAGGCAGTTCCTGACATATGATCGTGCACTGATTGAGGCACCACATTCCAATACCATTGATTTGAGCAAGCCGGACTTCATGAAACAAAATTGCAACCATTCGTTTCCGAGAACTCCTGTTTCTTCAAATTTTTGTCGGACGAGGATCATCTTTTGACACCTACGTTTTTGATTGCTCTTTGGTTTCTGGATCATAATGATGAAATCATGATTCATCACCAGTAACGATGTCGAATACATGCCGAGATTGTCCTTGTTCGAACCATCTCAGTGATTCACGTCAGAATTGCATTCGAAGTCGTTTTTGATCATTGGTGAGCGAATGTAGTACCCATCTTGCGCAAACCTTCCGTAACTTTAAATAATCGTGGAGGAATGATTAAATTGCTGGCGAATTGATGTCCAAGGAACACGCGATCTGCTGATACGTCACATGCGGATCATCATCAATCATTACTCGAACGACATCGATCACTTCATCGGTTACTGTAGTTCGAGGTCGTCCTGAACGAGGTAAATCAGAAACGTCCGATTTTCCACGTTCGTATTCATGAAACCAGTTAAGAACTGTTCGATCGGAAGGTGCTTGGTTCCCTCAAGCTGCTACCAAACGGGCATGGCTTTCTCGGTAATTCAAGCCAATTTTCCAATCATAAAGAATCATGGTACGAAATTGCTCTCTAGACAGTTCGATTACCATTGTGCAAATGATTGATAGTGGTCGGAAAAAACCGAAGATCTCGTGATGCACAACACATGGAGCTCTGAATGTTTCTACATAATCATGAAGATGTCCCCACCCTACGATAGTAATCTTAGAAGGAAATTCGCACGTTTCCTTATGGTGGGCGAAAAAACTTTTAGTCCTCTATGTACTATGAATTTACGAAAACGAAAGCAAATGTACGATAGTATTAATATAAGATAATTGTTTTCGATGATGATATGCTCTCTCTAAATCTTATTCATCATGATGTCAATAAAACTTTTGCTTAACATTTTACAATGAATATCAAGTGTAGGAAATTTTCTTCTTACTTTGTCGAGCATAATATACTGATAAAACAGTGGCACCTACTAATATGCATATTAGTAGTATAATAACAAATATCATCTTAAAAATCGATTGACCACGTGGTATAACATCATTTCTATAAATAAAAGAAATTTGTAATTAAGAAGAAAAGCAAGATGATTTACTGTAATCTTATATTCATTGATGTAATCTTATTATTCCCAGTAGTATTTTGAATAGTTGTATTATACGTTGCATTAGATGAAACTTGATTTGTATTAATAGGATGAACAGTATTTGATTGGTTTTTTCGATGATGGTATATTTTTGATCCAATGCGAACTAGTTTTGGACAAATCCATTTCAGGACAATGGTTAAACCACCTTGAATACCAAGTATCACGGTGATTGTATGAAATATATTAAACTTTTCAATACTTGTATAAGAACAAATTGAAGGCGAACACTGTTGATAATATGATGAATAATTTATTTGTGTTGACCATTGTTCAATGAATAAATTATTTATAAGTTCACCTATTGTTGTATTCTGTGAAAAATGGCTAAGATTTGTTGTTGAAAGAGGAGTTAAAGAATTTTCATAGTTTGTATAATGCTGAATAAGATCAAGACATGATTGATCATAGAAACATTCAAGAGTCGAAACAAGAAATGATTGACTTGGTGTACATCCCATTCGCACACCTTTGAGAGGAATCTTTCTTGAAGAATTTCTTTCAATCAAAGTTCCTTGCATTGTACAATTTGGAGACAATCCACATGAACATTCATCGTCATAGATGGTAGCTTCTGTATATGCATAAACATCCCTAGACCCATACGCTAAAATCCTATAGTTGAAATTTGTTCCATAAGTTGATATAATAGCATTTCCATGCAAAATACTTTGAGTTGAAGAAAGAAGACGAGAAAATAGAATAGGAGCATTGATTTTAATCTGTTCCGTTAAGATATTCAGACGATTCTCAAAGTTGAGTACGGAGAGAAGTTCGACAGTAACTAATAATGATGTCAAAAATTCATCGATAGAATTATTTACTGATTGTATCGAAAGTTGACATAATCCTTGAAGATATTGTAAATGAGCCGACAGAAATTGACGATAATCTTTTTGTTCATATACAGTTAAATTAGGATCAAGACCCTTTACCAAAGCGAGTCGCCATCCTTCCAAAACAAATTCACTTGTACATACCTAGAAATAATAATCAACGCCATAGCATAATACTGATTAAAACTTTCGTACAATAACGATGCGATTCTCCTGAATACTCGAAAGCATCGAAATCTTTACTTTGCCAAAATTCTACCTTACCGAATGAAAGATTGGTTCGATTTCGACGAAGTGATTGTATGTAAATGCTATTTTTGAGCATCTGCATTTTAATTCATCACCATAGGTTTTTCTCAAATGATTGTAGAAAATAAAAGATGGTTCATCAAAATTTTTTGTCAGTATATGCGGTCGAATAATTGTATAAAATATAAGAATAGTGAGAGCACTGATAAATAAGATAACGTAAAGACGAGTCGCCCATTGACCAAAACGTTTTGCTGTTATTCGATCAACATCACTTCCAATATCACGTAATGTAAATATATTTAACTCAATCAATTTAGTACGTAAACATTTTTTTAAATCCTGCATCATGATCTTCAATCGATTGGTACGAGCAAGGTGAACTAGAACAGAAATATACAGGCACTATGAAAAAGGTCTGTTTTTCATTAATAACAATTCAAAATATTAAGCAGTTAAGTTGTAGATGGCACCTAGGACTATCATTACTTATGGTTCACTGAAAATCTATTTTTTTGATCAAAAAAGATGGGATGAGTACCCTTAAATCGCAGTCGATAGATATTCTCATACATTGCATGTTGCATATAAAGCATTTAGAATGATATTTTTTTCGATCGATGAGATATATTTGTGAAAATTTTCCTTCAAATTCTATCAAATAAGATTCGTAATCTATCGACAAAGTATGAATATAGGTAAATGATCTTCAGTTAGTTACCTTGTTTTGGTGTTTTCTTGAACATTGTGGGAAATTGCAAAATAAGTTTCACAAAATGAGGTGTTAAAATACGTAAAGAGACTACAATACCACCAATCATCGACACTAGCATTATAACTACTCGAATAAAATTTTCCTTGCGAATTCTTTGAGAATAAGAACAATATATTGGTGCACAAGCTTCATAGAAATATTCATGTGATGAAGAAGGATTCCATTGGTCAACCATCAGTTCTTTGATAATCATTGAAATTGATGTTTTAGGAGGAAAATGACTCAATGCTGGATCATAAACGAGAGGTTGTATACGAAGTGAAGATGACTGTAGATACGTCGGAAGAAAATTCATTTTTGGTAAATAACTTAATAAAAGTGGAAAACAATTTGAATCGACATATAAGCACTCAAGTGTCGAGAATTGAAGAGAATCAATAGCAAGACACCCTTGAATCCATCCGGACACATTATAAATGAGATTAATATCGTTTTCCCACACATAGTTGAAAGTGGAATCATAGATAACAGCTTGATTTTGACAATATGGATTTATAACACAATTACATTTGATCGATGTTGAATTAATCTCTAGAATTCCATTTGGAATAAATTGGACCTACAAATAAATTTAATTAAGTTAATATTTCAGTAATAATCAATTGAGATAAATTATACTCATCGAGAGTCATTAATCAATCAATTTTGATAAAATCTAACCCTTCGTTTTCTCATACTATTGCATGGAAATACTGCTTAGCAATTAGTCAAATGATCTTGAATTCAATTTAAAACTGTGGAAAAACATAATTTGTACGAAACATCTTGATTTATTATCAATTTATTTTGTTTGAAACATGATCTTAAGGGTATCTCCTCTTTTTAGGTGGAAATTCTTTTGAAAAGCGATTTTTTGAGTTTGTGCTCGAGAGGTAGCCCATACTAAGATCTTTCCATCGACATTTGAACGAGCTCAATCGGACTCACTGTTATCTCAAAATTTCATTTTTACGAAACATTTCTTATGTAAAAAATTTCCAAAAGCTACGAATACGGTTGATGCTTTAGAAAAACTCTTTCTTTCCAGTAAAAATATGGTCAAACAGTTAAGTGTAGACATGTAGATACTCATGGGATATGGAAACGAACACCATCAATGAGTGAGAAGATATTTCGTGGCGAAAAGGCAGACTTCCTCGTTGATACTTCTCTTTATCATTCGATTAATGCTCTGATGGTGGACATTTTGATTTATTTTTTCCACTTGATCATGTTTTCACTTCTACTCGAAGAGGCAGCTAGAGTAGAGCACAATAGAATGCGAAAGAAATCTACTCAAGCAGTTCCTAGACCAATTATAATGACGGCAGAGTGAATTGCTAAGCGAGTTTTCCATTATTTCCTGTGAAATGTCATGATGAATGCATTTAGGATGCGTCCCATTTCACCGCCTACATAACCATCGGATTCTGCATGAAAAATTACCCGGAACAGCAATAAAAAATCAACTTTCAACTTTCGCCAGTGAGAAACGATATAGCGAAAACTTATTTTGCGTTTTTCTCGAAATCGGTTTTTTTCGACGAAGTGTTGAATTGTGCCACGGACAACCTTCCTTTCTTTTCATCCGATCGGATTGAAATTTTTACCACATGTACCTTAGACTATTCTCTAGAAGCAGTTTTGGCCGTTTTCGATTCTCATATCTCCTTGCGGATTTATACGGTTTTTCGTGTCAAAAACCAGGATCTCTGGAAAACCTTTTCGTATTTCTTTTCTAGGAAAAAAATACGAAACAAGATTTTTCAAAATGGTGAAAACTGTCTCTGAGATGTAGTGATAGGTACCTCCAGTCAAAATTTCAGGTTGATCGGACGACTTTACCTACCCTCGTCCAATGGCAAGGTGAGGACCTACGAAAAACTACAGTTTTTGATTAAAAACCGTGAGGACTGACGCTGGGAAATTTTGTCAAAAATACGTATCTGGTTATCGTAGGTCCTCTATCTCTGATAAAAATTTAAAGCGAATTGGACTTGCCATCTTGGAGATTTGAGAAACATGAAAAAAGAGGGGGCACCCTTAAGCCTCCGACGATTTTGTAGGTCGATTCGGATCTCCAATGCAACTCCATTTTCTGCTGCCATAATAGCTATTGTTTCTTGTAACAGTTTTTTCTTTGATCATAGCCTTCTAGTAACGTATAGAAGCAACAGGGAGGACTTTGGACATATACTTATATCTATTCCACTGAATCAACGAAATGTATTTGAATGCTAAAAAGTAAAAGCTTTCCGAGGGATAATCATATTTACTCTCTAACTTATACTCATTATATTCAGTATACCTTGATACTTTTTGTTCAAGTCTCACTTAACAGACAAAAAAAGAAAGAATATACTCATGTATCGATCATTTCTAACAATATTCCTATAAACTGATGAATTATGTTATCGTTCAAAAAAGTAACATACCTGTCGTGTTGTAACATTGTTCGTCTCATTTATTATTATGTTTACGATCTGTTTAGTGTCGTAATTATGTAACATAGATCTGAGTGATCCCGAATAAAATTGATCAACTTGCATAACGAGATGTATGACATCTTTCAAGAGATCAAAGTTGTAAATTGTTGATCGGTAAAATTGATTGACACTTGCATTGAGTTGTTTATTAAAATCCAATTCCTTCATTACAGACGAAGCGATAAATATCTGTGAAAGAAATCTATTAATAGCTGTATTAATCGTTTTATTAGCTAGTTGACAAAAATCAGATAATATCTGAAAATATTGATGTGCTCGATTCCGCCAGTCGTTTATTTTTACGTCGCTTGCACTGTCTTTTAATGTTGTTATCCAATCTTGATCAACAAAACCACTCGAACATATCTGGTGTAGAAGTGGAGAAAATGACACAAATATTTTATGAGATATTGTTTTATTTGAACATGGACATTGAAGTGTTGTTGAATATATACTTTCTAATGATTTGTAAGTCGTTATCGAAGGATTTGGTACCGTTATTACCACTATTTCGTTGCTTAAAGTTGTGTATAGACAAAGAAAACATATCGAACCTAATTGAAAAGAAAAAAGTATCGAAGAAAATAAGATACGTAAAGTGAAAATAATTTTACCGAATAATAAAATTAAATAAATACGAGTAATAATTCTCTGTTGTTTGATACTGTTTTCTGTTCGATCATGAATATTTTTGAATAAATTCAACTGTTTTAATGATTGAATTGGTTTAAACCGATTCGTATCTTGCTGATCTATATAATGAAAAAATAAACTTGATCAATAATGAGAATTGTCTTTGATTAAGAATTTACTCGAATTTTCATTTGAATAAGGTTTAAATTTTAGCCAAGTATCAATGAAATACGATGCAACTAAGCGAAGTATAATAGTAAGACCACCATAAAGGCTAATGAAAAGAGTGATTGCATATGATAAAGCTACTCGATCTTTTGTTGTATAAGTACACATTGATGTAAAGCATTGATCGAAGTATGTTGAATAATTGATTTTTATTGACCACTTGTCAATAAAAAGTGCGTTTAAATAGTCAAGTACAGAAGTATTTTCATGTTTTGACGATAAAATCAAATTATTCCAATTAAAGTTTGTCTAAAGAAAAAGAATATGTAACAATTATTGAATTATACCTTACAAACTTGGTTCAGATTTGGGAAATAATTCAACAATAATTGAAGACATTCCGTTTCGTATAAGCAATCTAGTGTACTTTGAAGGAGTGCTTCAATAGGCGTACATCCTGTAAAAAAGCCTTTGACGATGGTAGAATTGGGCAATGCTTGCATGTTGGATCTTCGCGGATACTGTATTAAAGTGTTTGATAATGGAGGAAGAGTAGCTGCAATTACCAAATTATTTGAGCTGCATGATAAATAGCTAATCGGCGTAGGAAAATATTTCACTGAGGTTCCAACGGTAGCATCAGCCCTCTCGTTGAAGTAAACTATCTCAATTAGCCAATTAGTACCAAGGCCTGTAACCAAATAGTTTCCTTGGATTGTTGTTCTCAAATAATTCAAGAATGACATTATTCGACTTAATGCATTGTTCTTCTGAATTTCAATGATACCACTTAATTCTAGTTGAACTTGCATTTCGGAAAGAAGCCCAATCGTAACTAGATCAGTATTATTAAGATTTAGTTGAATTTCAGCAATTATTTCCTTCGAAATTGAACAAAACTTTGAGAGGAGTTTAAACTAAATAAAAAAGATGAACTTTTAAAACATCAATTG